GGGAGCCCCTGCGCCCCAGGAGCGGGAACCTGCCCTGAGCCGCTCAGAGCACCCCCCACCCCCCCCAAAGCAAGAGGACGCACTGAAAGTGTGTTAAATGTGTTTAATGTGGTCAGAAGCTGTACAGAGGGCGGGGGACAGCACGCTGCCCTGCGCCCTGCTCTGCTATTTCATCTACAAAAATACAAAGCCTGGCCAGCAGATAATCTAACTGAAGAGGAAGCGGTTGAGGCCAAAGGCCCCGCACCCAGGGCTGCCGGTGGGGAGCCAGCCCCTCCTCGGCAGCGTTGGGACAGAGGCTGCGGCAGCAGGAACTGTGACGGGGACTTGCAGAGGGGAACTGATGCAATCCGCTCCCCTGCAGGAGCGCTTGGGGAAAGTGTCAGCCCAGAGGGTACCCAGCAGCACGCTGCAACATCTGCACCGTTGGGACCCAGCTCTGCAGAAGGAAAGAGGGGCCCTTAGTGGTTTTATTGCCCTTCCTGCTGGATGCTGAGCACCCTCTGCCCTTTTCCAGGAAAAGGCGCCTGCAGAGCACAGGACGGTGCGAGCGGGGCAAGGGAGGAACACGGTGCACATGTCTGCGCTGCCTCGCACCAGGGCACCGGCTGTCAAACCCATTCAGCTGGTGCCAGTTCACAGCAGTGCCACAAAAGCCTGTGCCCCAGCAAACCCAGCTCTGAAGCAGGCGCAGGTGGGGATGAGCTCCCTGCCCACCCCAGGTGAGCAGCCGCTTCCTGGGTCACCAATGCAGGAAAGGCTGGAAATGGCTCTGACTCCTCCAGGTGCATCTGATCAGCCTTGAGGAGCTGGAGCTGGAGGTGGGGGTATTCACACACACACACACACACAGCTGCTGGGGGTAGTGGCACATAGAAGGGCTAACAGCTTAATGGTGGCTGGCATGCCCAGGGTGAGGGGGCGGCAGGGGCTCCTCGGACACCCGCCCCAGGGAAGGCACTCAGGGGTCCCCGCTGTACTTGATGAGGTGGCCGCTGAAGGTGATGTAAGTGTCGTACTCATCGCTGAAGACGGCGTTCTCGCGCTCACCCTTGTAGAGCCGCACCCAGACCTCGTCCTGCTCCCGCAGTTCCAGCATGACGCTCTGACTCTGCATGATGCTGCGGTCGCTCACCTGGGCGTAGAGGATCACCACCTCTGCCCCGTTGTGCATGATGTGCAAGTATGTCTCCTTCTGGTTCCAGGTATGCACGTTGAGGCTGAAGTAGTAGATCCCGGGGACGTAGCAGTAAAACTTGCCCGTGAACATGTTGAAGTGGTCGTAGAGGTTGACAAACTCTGTGTCGAAGATGAGGGTCTGGTAGTAGTCATTGCTGTGCAGGGGTTTCTTGCGGCCCACTGAGAAGGCGGCATAGTGGCTCTTGCAGCGCTCCCCCGGAGCGCCCACGCTGCCCTTCTGTCCCTTGGGCCCCGTGTGGCCCCTGCTGCCGGCCACCCCCGTCTTGCCAAACTTGCCCTGCATGCCTCGCTCGCCTCGGTCCCCCTTCTCACCTGGGCGAAGCAGGAGGGAAAGTTGTGCTGTCAGAGGTAGTGCCATCTCTAAACCCAGTGCCCTGGAAGCCCCTTTGCCTGACAGAAGGGGATGGAGAGAGCAGGGATCCCCCCAGCCCCTGCCCCCTCCCTGGGCTTTGATGCTGCCTCCAAAGCTGCTGCCCAGAGGCCACCAGAGCAGGAGCAGCTCATGCCCCAGGATGTCTCGGGCCCACCACTCTTTTGCCCGTGCAGAGCGCTGGACCACAGGCACCAGCCCCAGCTTCTTGCTCCCAGTTTGTGCGAGACTGGCACCCCAGGGAGCTGGCACTGGGAGCCCAGCTTTGCGCTGGCCCTGGAGTGATGCTCGCAGACCAGGCAGGCTCATAGTGTCTGGTGGCACAGTGTGCCTGGGCTGCAGGTTCGGCCACAGGCAGTACCATGGCACGGGGCCCTGCCAGCCCTCACCTTTCAGGATGGTCATGTTGATCTGAGGCAGGGGCTGGTACTGGGGGTAGGAGAAGCGCTGGTCAGGCGGCTCACAGCAGCGGACGCAGCGGGGCCGCGGGGGCAGCCCC